ATTTTTTACATTCTTTATAATATAAGCTCAAATCCTAATAAAATCTAGTTTTTTTTAAAGTATGGGTATTTAGTACAAAAATTGACTTCTTCAAACTGGGCAGACTGAGTTTCAAAGTAACGTGTGGATCATCTGAATCATTGGCATGGAAAAACAAAAAGAAATACTCTTCTTAAAGAGTTTGAATTAAGTAGGAATTGAATTATGTGCAGGTGAAAATGGAATTATGTGCCAATAGAGCGCTCTTTGCTGGATTACCTTGCTCTATTGGCCGCCACGTTTTCTGATGGCATGAGCTTTCTTCGGGTTGTTGTTTAATGGTATGTTATTTCGGTGTTTATTGAAAAATGTTATTAATGTGTAATATGAAAATGCCGTCCTCTCGTTCGGCATTGACAAAATGCATATCAAAATAGAGGGAACAATTATCTTTCTTTTTTCGTAGCTAATAGTTATATATTTCAATAATTGCTTAGATATTTGACGATGGATGCATTTTAATTAAGTTGACTTCATTCCAGATATTTTATTGACATTTTGCAAGAATTTGTTAAATGTTTTGCAGAATATTGCGTTCATAATTATGAACACATTAAGTTAGTTAAAATATTCCTTAATTTTTCACTTTTCCGATATCTCGGTTTGATCAGTCGTTTGATCTTGAATTATTGTCAAGCACATTTCCATATAGAAATCAATTTAAATATTTTAATAATGAATATTAATAATCAGAAGTGTATTAATCGAAAGTTATTTTTTTAAATCAAGTATTACTACGAGGAAAATACAGAAATATATATTTAACTACGAACAAGCAAAGTTAAATCTGATTCTTTAAAATAATATGAACTAAATAAATGTAAGTTAGTTTATTTTTTATAAAAGTTCTAAATATTTTGTGGCTTTTAAATGATCTTTACCAAATTAATAATTACGTCCGTTCCGATGTTGCCCATAGAAAACATGGCGGCTGTCCTTTCAAAAAGCGACAAATATGGCAGGCACATCGCCTCTCTATAGATTTCAATTGTTCTATCGCGTTGCTTGTGATCGCTGCACTGGGCATCCTGGCCACAGACCTGACAATGTGTCGTTGCACCATCGCACAACATTAGTTCCGCTTCAGACCCGGTGCTTTGTGCTTTCTGTGAAATACCGTGTAATTGAGAAATAAATTATATTTATTGCAACAATCTTTGTGTACATTTGGTTGCAGAAAATTATACTTTATTTCAGACCTATGTACCATACATTTTTGTCTGGAAATAACACGTAAGGATAGACGTAAACGATTAGAAGACAGCAAAGTGCTTATGTTTTATTATTCACTCCGAAAGATTTTTTGGGGGGTCTCCCTCCAGAATAATCTTTCGTTCAGCATAGTAGTGTTTCACCAAATTATATGAAGTATTCCTATGCATTTTTACTTCTTGTTTGTGATCTTTCCTCAATTCCTTTCTCATTACGTGTCATTTTCATAACGTCAATGTAGACAATAACATACATTTCATGATCTATAGTTCTAAAACATCCTGTTTAATTCAAAGACATGTTTCATCAGATTTTTCCTTCAGAGAAAATTTGAAAAGTGGAGAATGATTAACTTGTGACGTAATATAAGAAGAAACATGCACTGACTATAAGTATCTGATAGTCAGTAAACAATTCACAGGACACACAGCTGATTTACTTCAAAAAATGCATTTTGGTACGAACATTAAAAAGTACGCAACTCGTACTTTTGGCACTGACGATACACGCGTAGTGTGTGCAAACTTGACAGTAAATGATTGTGGTTGTGGTTGTGGTTTCGACCTTGACAAAGGCGTTTGTGTGACTTTCCTCACTTGACCCTGGGATAGAGACATACAATCGTACAAACATTGCTTAATGCAATTACAGCATTGCTTAATACAGAATGTAACTATAGTTTTCATAAAATGTCTTTGAGGGCTGTAAAAGGAATCCTCCATCATCCACATCATTTGATCTGAATGCTCTGAAATATAGAAAAGCTTTGACTTTTGAGCTATTTTTGTAATGAATGATTGGATTATTCAAAATGGTTGGATATTTTACTATTTAATTTTAAATAACTTTAACTTACGATTTTGAACTGGGCCTTCTCATCCAATTTGAATTTCCAAGTCGCAGATTCGCAATCATTATCGTCTCGATGTCTGTGTGGATACCTATGACTTTATTTTTCATCATTGTCATCAGGTGAACGAAGGTTGTTTTTGCACACTTCATAACATCATTTCTTTCCCGTGGCAACATTTCTCATCCGTGACCATTTATATTTAGCAGATCACCTTCAACAAACTGCTGCTTAGGTCTAGGTCTGACACCGAAAAGCGAGAAAGTGGAGAGAAATATAAAACGACGGTGTGGAGATGGGAAGAATAATTTGACATCTTATAAATTGTGGAATTGTGCTCATAGCTCCGAGACAGAATGTTTAGACCGCCATACAAGGTCTCTGAAGGCCACTGATAGCGGAGGAGGAAGCTACTTCGGAAGAAGCAGGAATTGAATCCCTGCAAGCAGAGTCAGGGAATGACGCATCCGGATGGAAGGACAGATTGCAGCACTGAAGTCGGTGTCACAGGAGGATATGTTTGGGCTAGTTCTGGTCAGCTTCAGGCCACCGTGAAATGACCCTTGAAGCCAGTGGATAGATGTCGATTGCCGACGAAGCAGCACTGAGTGTCTAAAGATCCTTTAGAAAAGAAAGGGGCAGCATTGAGGATAGATAGATAGATAGATAGATTTATTAAAGTTCGCTTTGAGCTAATGCTCGGTGGCCAAAACATGGATAACAATTAAAATTAGAATTACTAAACATTTTAAACAATTACAATTGGTTTACTATTAGAATTGAGGGGTCGATATAATAGCTTTCAATTTATTTCCTAGCTAACTCTAAATTCACTTCTAGTCTACATAACACTTTCCTACAACTACCACAACACTCACCACTACACTGGCCCTGCACTCCCTTCACTAACCCTACACTCGCCCGTCCCCCAACTACACTACACTACACTACACTACACTTCACATCACTTTCACGTTATAGGGCCAATGACGATAATAATTATGACAAATAAATAATAATAATAATAATAATAAATAATAATAATAATAATAATAATAATAATAATAATAATAAATAATAATATAAAGATAAATGGTCTCAGTCCAGTGATTTTTCGAGATGCTCTGCCGATGGGAGTGAAGGAATTTGTTAAATTTGGCTAGCATTTGAAGGGAAGGCCTCTAGTGCTTCTGCAGGTAGCTTATTCCAATCTACTGTAGTGCAATTCCAAAGGAGAACTTGCTACATCAGTTCTTTGCCTTTCTTACATCGTATTTTCCAAGGATGGTCTTCTCTGGCCTTTTATTAATCTGCATTTCTGTAATCTTTTACCGTATCTGCCCATCGCCTGGTGGTCCCCTCTGTATGTCTTATACATTACGCATAAACGCCGCCCGTTCCCTTCTCTTTGACTGAGGACTTCCGCATTCTTCTCGGTTCTCCTTCTGATAGTGCCAGAATGCAAAAATGGTTGGGTGAATTTTTTTGGCCAGTTCGAATTTCCCAAGAACTGCAGGACGAGATCGGAAGCAGGGAATGAACGAATGATCAGTGACTGTCGTAGAAGGGGCTTGTGCGCAGCCCGGCTAAGATGGCGACAATAATGGCCTAAAAAGAGCTTTTCTTTTTTATTAGAACAGATACGTAAGGACTCTTTGAAAGTGTAGCAGGTGAAGCAAGTGGCTATTGTGCAAGAAACAAAAGTGGGAATCCTTGATGCCGGAGGCAGGAACATAGACGAAAGATTGGTCAGATTAGAAGGGACTGGCCGGCACCACTGTAGATGCCAGAGGATGATATAGTCGAGGAGCTTCTTTTCCTTTTGCAGGCCGCCGACGTGAGGTAAGAGTTTCCAACGGGTCTGCTTGAAACTAGTAGAGGTGAAGCAGGCTGTGACTATTGCGGAAGAAAGCCAAAAGTGGGATCCTAAGACGGAGAACCGCCCAAACGAAAGCAGTTTGTCAGGCAGATAGAAGAGGTAGATGTTTTGGGCTGTCCTGGGTGAGCGCCGGCGTCGAAGGCCTGCGTTGCGAGCGTTTCGCACGCATCCTGTCGTGGTCTTCCTCAGGGCTGGTATGCGGCCACCCTGAGGCAGAGACGCACTTGGGCAATACCAGCGCCTGAGGAAAGACCACGAACAGGATGGTCGAAATGTCGGCACACACCAGCCTTCGACGCGGCGCTCACCCTGACAGCCCAGGATCCACCCACATGACTCTGCCGCGGAAGCCTACCGACTTCAGATAGAAGAGGTAGGTTGCGGGACATTAAAGATAAGTGTGTTGGCCGACCATTTGGCCCATCTAGTCCTTCCATTTTGTTTTTTTTTTGGGGGGGGCGGCCCCGCTCAAGCTGTTGACTGCGAGTGGTTTAGACAAGAGCGCGCGGCGTCACGGTGGGTGGCGAGAGCACCTGTCCATCTTGCGGCCGAGCGGCGCGCGTGCAGCCGCATCCCGCGTTGGCGTTACGTGAGCGGGTCGCCGCGGCGCAACGAGTGTCCACCCGGAAGTCCCTCCACCCCGGCCTCTTCCCCCACCCCGCCCCCGCCACCGGCCCACTGAGCCCCGCTCCCCTCTCCCTCTCCCGCACACCGCCCCGCACCCCGCTCCAGCCCCGTTCCCCGCCCCGCACACCGCCCTGCACCGCTCCCCGCCCCGCCAACCCGCCCCACACCGCTCACCGCCCCGCATTTCTCGCCCGCACCCCACCCTCGTCCTTACCCCAGCCCCCGAACCCCCCCCGTGCCGCCCCGTCTAACGCCATCCCCTCAATCCCCGCCCCCTTCCCCTCCCCTCCCCTCCCCACCTCCCCGTCGTCGTGCCTCCGTCCCGCCCCCACCACCACGATGTCCTCTGGCCGCGGGCGCCAGGCAGCACACGACTGAAGACTGGCGCCCAGCATGCGACTCCTCCTAGCGCACCGGCGTCTCGCGGGCGCCATCTTGATCTTCGCCTTTGCCGCGGCCATTTTGGGAGGCGATGCCCAAGACAAAGCCGTGAGTTATTAGCTGTTGAACGATTACTTTGCACGACAGATTATCTACCACAGTGAAGTAATTGTGACCACGCCTGTGATGATGCTGTCTCAGTGAGATCTTTTGGATTTGGTGCACTTAGGAAGATTTTCTGAGACAGCCATTGTTTGATAGCCGCTATCAATTGCTTCTAGAAATAGCAAGTGGAGGCCGTGTCAAACATATGAGAACTTTGATATGCAGTATGTTTTGTGGCGTGGTCAGTTAATTATTGTAATTTGTTATCAATATGTATATATATCCGCAAAAAATGGGAAATAACGAATAAAATATTGCCTTGAAATGTAAATTCTTTTCAAATATATATCATAAAAGAATATATTTTTTCTATCAGAACCCTCCAGATGACTTTCCTGAAGTCTCTTCGGTTTATGTTATGTTTATTATACTGACATAAGAATTAACCACTGAAGTTATTGAACTTTCTGGTAAATAGTTTTTATGTTTGCTATTGTAGTGTGTTCTTGATATCATCTTCGGATGTGTTATGTCAATGATCTTGATATAAACAACCGGATAAGAACATGAATACAACTCAGGGAGAATCAACGGATTTGATGCCATAAAATAATCATATTTAAATAAGCGGCTGAGTAGAACAAACAGAAAATAATTACCAAATCTAGTATATCGTTCCATTGAGATCAATATTACGGTTTCTGATGGTATTTTTGGATTACATTGATCTTTAACAAATTTATTTTCTTGTTGAAATAGTTGTTCGCAAAAACTGCACAGCTCTCTTATTGTCCCCGCGTCTTCATGAAATGTTTTAGTATTTTCATAATAACAATAGTGAGTGGTTTTAATTCACAATATTATATCTAAGATTATATCTGATTCATCTATGATACAATTTTAATTTTATTTAGAAAAAAATTACTGAATTAACAGTACCAACATTCCATTTTTAGATTTCATTGATATCCGATTTTACATTATGGCTTGTCGCTCTACACATATACTTCTGTCCATCTTTTAGCAGAAGAACATTAAAATGGGAAATATTTATTTCAGTGTATTCACTGCGGAACTTAAAATCAGTTGAATTATTCTATAGCCGAAGATTCGTGTGATCTCAAAAGGTCTTACGAGCTGCATCAGAGCTGTTGCGACCGAACCAATGGCTATTGAGATACACAACACCTCGTGGACAATGTTGGAGCCCAATGTTTTCGCCTTGGCGGGCTGCCTTGACGTTCGTCGATCCGTCACATCACCGTTAGTTGTACGTATCTGTCTTTGTTTAAATTTCATCTGTTATTTCTACATTATACAGGGTGTTTCATTTGAACGTTATTTCAAGGTTAATTTTTTGGCGTTATCAAGCACAAACTGTGTACTAAGTCACTCTAAATAAACACTCATGTACATCTAAAGTGCAATAATAATTACGCATTTGTTTTGCTGATTAAAATAAACTGTTCCATTGCTTTTTTGACTTACGGTACAGCAAAATGATGTTAATGTATATATTATTTGAATCTACACAATTTTTTAATCATTCTCACAATCAAAACTTTCCAAATATTGGTGCTAAAACGTCTATTTAATATTGTTTGTGGTACAGGGATTTGCGTCTCTCAAAAAGTGTGACGAGTCACACTCAAAATGCAGCGCACCAGTTGTTCAATTCTCGCGACCTCACTTGTGCGACGAAATGAAGAGGAAAGGCACATTTATGAATGACGTGGTGGCTCATTTAGATGGAGGATTTAAGGGGTGTCCTGTCTTGCCGGTACGTAGAGAATGCTGGTGTTATTCACTGCTGCTGATACGATAGCACTAAATGAATTTCATTTGTGTGACATAAAACATTACAAAAACAGTCATGAAGTTATGTCAAAATTTTACTACTTTTGTTAAAAATTGAGTGAGAATTATTATATTATATGTACTCATATCCACACAATTCAATTTTTGCTGGCATTTTGAAATGCAGTAATATCTGGAAAACAAATTCAAAATTCTTCATTACTTTCTTTTTTGAAATTCCGGACTTCATTCATTTTATTTAACATTTGTTAGAAAATGTAATTTTTGTTCAAGTTGCAAAGTATTTAAATATCTTATGGCTATTCGTACCGTTGTGACTATCTTTTAGAAGAAAGTCGATTTAATGCAAGATTATTTCGCTTTTTATCAAAATCAATTTCGGTTGATATGTTCTATCGATTAATGCTATGACCAAAGAAAACATAAATTCGTTCCAGCAAACAGTAAAATACCTGAATTTCGAATATCCTATTGATGGCAATACTAATAATAATAATTTCATGCAATACTGATATTTATACAACACACGTCGTAAAAATCACGTTAATCAAGTGTCAGTATCAGCAGCTCACTCTCAGAAATCCACATACAATACATGTACGTTACTTTACAACGCACTGAGACATGACATTAAACAATTAAAGTCGGTTCACAAATTTAAGTTAAAAGTAAACTCTTTTCTGCTGAATAACTGTTTCTATACAGTTAGAGACAATACTGATTATTAAATAGAAAAATAATGTTTATTTTAACAAAACATTGATATATAATGAATCAGTTTACATTTGTATTGTATATTTCATTAAAGACTTAATATGTTTGTAACAAACAATGTACTTCAGCTTCCGAGTCAAACCCCCATCTCGATCACGTTTTTGTCCCATTTCCCTGATACATTGAGCAAATGCTGAGATGGCCCCTTGTTTTGATTCTGGACGTAAATGTAGCTTCAATATGCGCTCGTTTTGTTGAACTCTCCTTTTGCTTGTAATGGTAAGAGTAGAGGTAAGGATGAGTTGCTATTTTGTTAGCAATGCAGAAAAATCATACTTGCAATTCATGTTTTGATGCAAATAAGTTTTCTATAACTCAGAAACGAAAACGACTTTCTCAAATATTACTAATCTTATGATTTTTAAAATTTATTTATTTAATTTAATTTATTTATTTATCATAAACTTTTACTCACCTTTCAAATATTTGTAGTTAAAATGACGGGAAGGGATTCTGAAACTCAAGAAAACGTGGGCAGATAATCTTTTCCTCCTTACGTCACATACAGTTTTTACTGTTTTTTTTTAACTGAATAAATATAAAATCTAAATCTAGATGGAATTATTAAGCAGAAAATTTAAATTATGGGTTTTACAATTCAGAAACAATGCATCGTCAATATTTAATTAAATAATTTATAAAAAATAAGAAATAAAAGAGAAAGAAAAAGAAAACATTTCTTATTGTTTCTGATGCATAGTTTGAAAAATAATCTGATGTTTTATTACACTGTGATTCAGAGACTCTTCCTTTCAATTAAATATTCACTTTTTCCTCTTTCACTCTTTTTAATCGCTCGATTAAGCATTCGACGTAGGCTCATGGAAAGGTACAGCTGTCATCGAATTATTGCTACCATTTGCAGCATGATATCGTGTTATGCAGAACATACAATAGATGTATATATAATACTTGTTAAAGTAACGCTTAGTAAATAATTTATTTTATCACGAATTTTGTATTCGTAAAGAAATACTTATTTAACACTGAAATTTACTTTGCTTAATGAGCCCCCATGTCCTTGGGGCTTCGGATATAGTCCTGTCAGTCCCTATGGGACTTACGCTGCTGACTTGTGATACATATTTCGAAGACATTTTAGTAAGAGCAGTCTGCCTTCCTTTTAGAAGTGGCAGTGTTCTAGTTCCTAGCAATTTTCTTTTTTTAATGATAGTTTTATTTTATAAAACTGTTTATATCAATATTTTATAAAATACAGCCAAAACAAAGAACTACTTGCATCTATTCACCCTTGTCCCTCATCATGTGTGAAAACTGCGTTTCAAGATCTTTTACAGTTCAAAAATGGCGAGAGCTACTATGGTTACATAACTCACCTATATTACAACTTAGCTATGTGATACCAGAACAATTAGATTAGAACCTTTAAAGAATATCAAATTATATCACACGTGCAGGTGGCATCATTTTTTAATTGGATGTTGCGATTTCACTTTTGTAAATTATGTTCTCACTCAAATAGCCAATGCCAGTTTCGGATAACATTCAATTGAAGCAAATTACGTTTGCAAAAGGCATTATTTATGTTTGCATTGAAATATTTTCAGGGCAATTACTGCTTGGCTCAGCAAACATTTTCGCTCCCAAATGATACAAGATGCGGCGAACTTGGCGGTGAATGGCAATTAGCAGTGAAGATAACTGTACCAAGTCAAGGGCAAATTATGTGCCAAATATGGAACATGGTAGTTGAAGTGGACTGTGGTTAATTTATTGCAGTTTTACATAAAAGGTTCACTGGTGTAGTTCAAGAAAAGAAATAAATCTTTCGTCCACATCGTATTAAATAATTTCTTTTTAAATGTCAGTATTTTTTGTATTTATTTTATTAATAATATTTAACATTATTAATAATAATTAGTTTTCTTCTACAAAGACAAAATATGAAATTGTAAGAAGTGAAATAATGAAAAATATATTGTAAAAATGATGTAAACTGAGAATAAAAGTTTTTCATTTTCATGTATTTTAAACAACATTTGAATACGAATAACAAAATATAACAAAATATAACAGAAATTACAAAGCATAGTAGACTTTCAAAAACATTTTTTAAAATTTCTCTTATGTGGTCAGGAACATTAACCAGTAATATCTAACTCAATGATATCCATTTTCAAATGAAAATTACTGGTTTGCTATAGAATAATATTAAGATTTCAATTCAGCAGTTGAACGGCTAACTCCTTTTTTGACATCCGTGTTTAAGGTTTATCTTGATACATCGCGTTGATGAACCATACATTTGTGTGAAACATACTGTGTCTTTCTCGAAGAAGGTGGAAGCAAGGATGTTTCAAATATAATGTTTAAGATACAAAACGTAAGAAACATTAAGATTTGAAAGTAATATTCATAAAATTATAATGATGAAAATTCGTAATAGTTACGGCTTTAAACTATTTCACTTTGAGACAGAACAGGACAACTATTTTTCTTGATAAAATTCTTATAATTTTATTTTTTGTGACACATTTTAAAGATCAAGCGATCTAAGTGATATTTACAGAGCATGTAATTTCTTATTTATAATATTTATCTACGTTTTTGAAAGGTAGCTTGTCTTTAAATATTGTAATTTTTAGCGTTGAAGTAATTATATTTTTGCTTGACAAATCATTTTGTATTTACCTTTTGTGTGTATCGATAATGGCACTCTGCAATGGAATGTTGTGAAAAATTCCCTTTGGCCCGAGTTCAGTGCTGATACATAATTTTTCACTTTGATGCCTGACTGCCGTAAATCGCAGAGCTATTGTATTGTATGTATTGTCTTCGGGCGAATTCGGGCTAACGAAGGTGGACAATATTTGTGGAACATAAATTGTAATTCACAAGCGGCCAAATGTCACAGGCTCATAAATCAATACTCTCGTTCTTGATTGTTCTCTATTACGACGAAAATGCAAACTATGATTGGTGTGTATTGGGGAAATTGATGTGATGATATATCTCTTTGAGCGGAGTTTGCCAAACGAGTTAATATGTGCGTCTTGGGAATGCCAGTTAATAGCCAACGAAGCTTTAATTATTCAGTATTTTAATGAATATCTTTACCTCTTATTCATGAAGTTTTGAGGAAAAGAATACAAATAAGCCTTCGTGTTATTAGCGACATTTTCAATAAAAGCTATAAGCACCACAGAAAGTTGTTTTAAAAAATTAATGTTTCAATCATTTTATTATTAGAGATAACTTATTCCTTTTAATCATTGGTAGCGTGCTCTACAAATAAACAAAATGTAAAACTATGGTATGAATATCTCATTTTTTGGCGATTCCGTACAATATTTTCAATATGACCTCTTAGATATGTGAAAAGGTTCTCGTTTGTACTGTATAAATAATAAGCTCTCAAATAATTGTTGCCGATTTGTCTGTGAACATTTTAAACAATGTTTAGATTTGTAATTGTGGAGTATATAGGATTTGACATGTTCTAGACCCATCACTACGCGGTCACAATTTGGTGATAACAACCATCTCCCGAAGACGCAAATTTTGTTGTAAAACTTATATCATTTACCCCTTTGTAATGTTTTATTCATTACCAATATATTTTATTTTTTTTTACTTTTTAATATTTTTAATTCAACACGTTGAATGTTTAATTCAAAACTTTATTAAATCCGGGTCTCATAATTAAGAGTTCTCATATAATATAAAAGATATTTGAAGGAAAACTTGTTTTCAACTTACTAAGGTCTATGTATAGTAATTTTAAAATTTCGAATACGTATCTATCCTTATTTGTACGGCTATTCACATTAAATGTAACCAAATTTACCTCAACGTTTGAAATTGCGTGCAATCTAGGGTACTTAGTTTCGTCTTGCATGCAGGACACAGCAGTGCAGGTTAAATTTTTTATCCTAACGGCTACGCCGATAACTGGTCTGCAAATGATGCTATCGCCAAGTTTGAAATGCTGACCCAGATGGCCGATACCTTTAAGGCAATAGTGCCTTAGCGATCTTGGATCGCGGATTCGAGTTCCGCCTCGGGCATGTTTGTATTTGTGTTCGTTCTTTCACCTCCTATCACTACCATAACATGTCATCTTCACAGTTACCAAACTGTTAGATGGTATAGTGGTCGCTAATGACCTATATGTTGATACGATCTTAAATAAAAATGACATTTCGTAAGTATTAGATTGCAGATTAATTATATGTACGTATGTATTCTACTAAACAGATAGCCTCACAGATTGTGCAACCAATTGAAACTGTTTTCTTAAAGTGAATTAAATGATGCAACAAAATGGCACGGTCACCCCTTACTCACTGGACCCGAAACAATTTCATGCGAGGAACATCGCTTTCTCCTAGTCGATAGCCAGCGCCGCCATCTTAGGCACGGGGGAGGTGAACTGCGAGGGTAAGGGGGAGAGTTGGCGTGAACGAGGGCTTGGGGGACGTGGAGGCTGCTGTTTTATGCGACAAGGGCGCCCGCGGCGGTGGCCCGGCCATAATTATGCCTAGGGCGAATCGATGCGATAGCGTATTTCAAGGGCGCCTTCCCCCAAACGATGCGTCTGGGTAGCACTCCGCGAGCAGCTGACGCAATTGTTTGGGGTTTTGAACTCCCGGCTTGTTCGACTTTGGGATGTGAGTAGTAGTTACGGAAACGACAATGAATAATCAAAGCGTGATTACTTTTTATTACGTCACGTAAACCGAAGATAGATTCATTTGGTTACATTATTTAAAAAATAAATTCTATGAATATTGTTTTACGACAATGAAAATATCGGAAAAAGGAATATTCCACGATGTTATTTGCCAACTCGCTACTCGATACTTTCGGCGAAGTTTTTCTGATTCTCATAGACATGAAAATCTCTAAATAGCCATATCCTCTTTGTATACCCATACATAGTTTACCATATACGTATTAATTCCGTTTTAATTGCGGAGTTCCGTTGTGCGTGTTAATAAAATATTATGTAAATACGCAGTATAATTTTCATGTTAAATGTCATTGACATTTGAAATAAAAGAAATATAAATCGTTAATTAAGAAATATTTAATATTACTAATTAGCAGCTCGTCATTGATAACAAAATTGTGAATTTTTATAATTAACTGATGACGACACTGAGTACACAACACAATATTATTTGAATTTTCAGTCAATATGCATACGTTACTCTTTCATTCACATACTAAAAATGAAAATGCGACATATCAGTCAAAAGAGAATACTGTAACGATTTTTATCGTTGTTGTTTACAAATTTAGTGCTTTCAACTTCAATAATTATAATTTGCGCTCCCTCTCGTTTTTCTGTACACATAATAATAAACGATTTTCAATCGAATGGGTCGAACAATAATAAATTCAGAGAAACACTGTATTATGAATGGGAAGGACTATAAACAAATTCTAGGAACTCGCTCAATTATTGCGGTGATGAGCTCATTTGTTGATGACAAATTTTGGTATTTTAAAAGTGCATTTAACCTTTGTTCTGTAAACAACAGACGCGTTGCATTGGAATCTATATTAATATGTGAAGATAAAACTTTGGACACTTTTTAAGAATATTGCTTTTAGGAAGGAGTCTGAGATTTGAAATAGTTAAATTGTGTATGAAGAAAGAGTCACTAATATATTAAAATAAATAATGTAACGTGCATGTGCATTTATGTCTCGGATTCGCTACGTGTAGAGCCTTAAACTTTGATTTTAGTGTCCTGTGGTTTTTAGACTTTTCTCATACTTATCGTTGAAAAGAAAGATATTTTGCTCCATATTTGCATTTGTGAGCGTGAAAGGTTTATTAGTAGTAATAATAAACTGTAAAATTAAATTTAGTTCGTAAACAGTATTATGTTTTACAAAAGTGTGCAATGGCGTTACTTTTTCACTTAACATAACATTACATGACACAAACAAAGGGTGCTGGAGGCAGTATACTTGACTTCTGAAGGACTTTGCTCCGTTGGCGGTTGAGGCCACGAAGCAAGTTCCCGTTGTGTTCTTAGCCAATGCTGGAGGAGTGAGAAGCTCACTTTTTTACAGGTTGATAGATAGTTTTGCAAGAGTTTTCAATTTACAAAGGTTTTCAATTTGCATAGGCATTGCAGGGAGTTGTGGCAAGCAACGCGCGTTATAATGTATTTGTACACGCTGGCAGATGACGAAATAGAACAAAATTGAAAAATATATTATATAATTATTCTACTGAGGTAGTTTTATATTTAACTAATTCAGCTCCCTAACTACGTATATATCATGCCCCTAAACTGGACAGCCATTTGGGATGATTTATTATTTTAACTAATTAACTTCCACTAATTATTGTTTCCTGGTTAATATTACATTTGTTACAATGTTGATTAATATTGCTATTTCAAACATTACATACATTTTCAAGCTTTTATACTAGAGCGTTTCAAATTGGTTTGCACAACGTGGGCAAATTGTGTTAATAATCCCACACGTATATTCAAAACGTATGTAACATATGAAGTCGCCAAATGGTTCAAAATTCTTGTCGCAGGGGCTCCAGGGACATTGGCCTCCTCTTGGTGTTCAGCAAGATATTGTGTCGGCAAATCGGTCCCTGAGAATGACATTCTTCAGATTGTGATACAGAATGGCTTTTTCAATTAATAAACATGCTTCCACACGTGACGAAAAATGTCACAATCGCTCTATAATGCGATAATACAGGCCCACAGTTCCATAAAACGAAGGAGAAGGAGGAAAAAAAGGCGGAGAAGAAGGCGGAGAAGGAGGAGAAGGAGGAGAAGAAGGAGGAGAAGGTGGAGAAGCAGGAGGAGAAGCAGGAGGAGAAGAAGGAGAAAGAGAAGAAGGAGAAAGAGAAGAAGGAGAAAAAGAAG